CTAAAGGGACTGTTTCAGTCTACATGAAGCCAAGCCCCAAATCCCGATGTTAAAAAGTGTCAGGGGAGTGCAAGCTGGGGAAGGCTTTCTTCTTTCTTTTCTGTGAGCCATCCCAGTTTCTCAAGTCAAGGGTTCTTTCCACGAATGAGGCTCAAAACTCATTGTCTGCAGAGGTCGATGTTGCCTCCCCTCAGGTCGCCTGGCTCAGTTGGCCTCCTTGGTTCTTCTTGTGCATCCGTCACAGCCGATAGAGCAGAGACGGGCTAGATCCTTGGGGGTTGGGGGGAATGTAGGCACCAAGCTGTCCACTCCTGGAGGTCCCCAGGCCAGGCCAGCCGAAGCTGCGGTCAGTGGCCTGATGGGGGAGGGCACTTCCAGAGGGGGAGCCCAGCGGGAAGAAGTGGGGGGCTTCCTCCAGAATGGGACCAGAGCCCTGTGAGTGCCCTGCAGGGGCCGCCACCTGCCAGGGTGTGGGCAGGAGCCCTCACCTGTGTGAGGAAGTCTGCCCAAATCGAGGAGGCCAGTGCAGAAGCCCTCACATCCCCAGGCATGCACACCTGCACTGGCATGAGCCCGGCAGCCCCTGGGAGTGACTGTCAACCCTGGTATGTCGGTCAGAGGTGAGGCTGGCCGGCATTTACACGTTATAGTTTGCTCCTTGATGAACCTGCTGTTGTTGTGAAAGATCATCCCACCTATAAAACAGGATTTGGCAGCCATGCACGAAAGGTACCATCTCTCCCCTCAGTGGTCACTGTCAACTAAGTGTCGCTGTCTGGAGTCGCTTGGTGACTGAAGGGGACAGAGTACCTAGAAGGCTTGGCGACCCACAAAGCATGATGCCAACACAAGATGCTCCCAGGCAAAGCCCTCCATTGACATTTTGAGATTAATAGTCAGTCTCCTCCTCTTTAGAGATATGACATGTAGAGTAAAAAAATATTAAAAAAATAAATTAACTTATACATGCATTAAAACTCTTGAGTGAAACGTTTATACAGAAGATGGCTTTATTTTGTCTGTTATGCAAGTTTTAGAACCAGGGTTAGGTGAGAAGGAGGCGCCCCCTCTTGTGTGTGTGTGTGTATGTGTGTGTGTGTGTGAGAGAGAGTGAGTGAGAGAGAGAGAGAGAGAGAGAGAGGAGAGGCTGTATCATGCCCTTGGCTGGCACGGCGGGAGAGTACTCACGCACAACATCTAATTTTCTAGTAGATCAAAGCCTAAAACCACCCATTAGTGAATGACGGGTGTGGTTTCCTGTCATCTCTGTCATTAAGGAAAACCCAAACCAATTATGCAATATTTAGGCTCTAGGTACTGCATTGGGCAAAGTAAAACCTTAAAATAAACGTAGGTTGGTTTTGTTATGTGTGGCTTTCCTCCCAATTGCCTAAAGAAAGTAGGTTTTCATTAAGTGGGTACAGCCATGGAAATACAGATTTGCATGATGCTTTGACGTTACAAAATTCTGGTCTCAATAGTCTTCATTTAACGTCATAATCAGGGCCATGGCCTCTCCTGGGTCCGGCAGCAGCTCTTATACAAACGCTGCATCCCCTGACGCTCCACCTGCTTCATCCAGAACAGATGCAAGTGGACGAGGTGCTCACAACAGGGACAGATGAAAGGGTCTCCTGGAAGCAGGAGGCGACCCGGGCTTAATACCCCAGGAAAGAGGAGCCTCCCGACTGCCAACTCCTAGCATTTATGTGAGCCCTCGTGTTTTGCTCTTTCCATCGACCTTACTAATTTGTTATTCATTGCCAACAGCCTCAAGGGTTCCAAAAGTCTCCAGTCATCCAGATTTAATCTGATTCAGCCTACAGCGTTGCCCAATGTTACCGTAAATGACTAGTTGTTTGGTATAGTTATTTTCTTCAGTGGAAACGTTCAGGTCATCTTGTGTTGACAGAACACAGGCAGGAGCTCCGAACTTTGTCCTCACTTTCTCCACCCCAGCCACGGGGGCGCGGGGGTGGGGTCTCCTTGCTGTTCTTCATACATGCCAGACCCTCTCCCACCCCAGGGCCTTTGCACCTGCTGCTCCTTCTGCCTGGAATGTTCTTTCCCTCATAGTTTACTTCCTGGCCACCTTTAGATCTTCAGTCAAATGCTACCTGCTCAGGGGGCCTTCCCTGGCCAACTCTCACACTTGAACCCTCTTTATTTTTCCCCTTTTGTGCTTTACTTTTATCCATGGGGCACATCCCCTTCCCGTGTATTCTATGAATTGCCTTATTGTTCTCTGTCTGCTGGCGTCCGCTGGAGTGAAGCTCTGTGCAGGTGGGGACTTTGTCTGTTTTGTTCCCAGCACCTGGCACATCATAGATGACCATAGACTTTGCTGGATGGATGAATGAATTCTTTCTTTGTAACACCAGTACCACCACTGAAAAAAATAAGTCCTTTTCTGATAAGTCACCCTTGTCATTGCATATTCATTCATCCATTTATTCAAAACACATTCTCTCCCTATCTGTGTCAGGCAAGGCCCTGTGCTGAGCCCCGTGAGGATTTCATCAGTGCTTAGAGCATGATCCTAACCCTTGTGCATGAAGATGAACAAGTGCTTTTGAAGTCTGCCTCTGCCCTTTCGGAGAAAGCAGGAGGTCATGGTGGCGACGCTATGCCCTGGCCGCAGCAGGACCCTGGTGCCAGCCCAGCTCCTTCCTCTTGGGTCTGCTGGTCTGTGATGCTGCAGTGCATTTGTTTCCTGGTCTACACATGGCATGATGCTGCTTGGGGGAAATGTTGTCACATGAGGTCCTTTAGATTTGCCTTTCTGCTCAAAGCATGGCCCAGGGTCAGGGGGCTTGACAGAAACGCCCAACCTCTGGCCTCCCCCAGACCTGCTGAGTCAGAGTGCAGACTCACAAGACCCCCCAGAGATTCAGGTGCACATTACAGTTAGAGAAGCACTACCTTAAGACTCAAGAGGGAGTTTTGTCCCCAGCACACAAAGGACAATACATGGGCTGTAGCCGGAACACGTCACAAATAAAACCAACATTCATTCATTGAGAATCTGCCGTGCCTAAGGCAGTGGGGTAATACATTTTGGTTTAGGATCACACATTCCTGCCCGGGGAGTCGGGGCCCAACATTCAGAGCATCTAGCAAATCAGTACCTAATGTGTTATTTATGTGATGGATCCACCAACATAGTTAGCGATTCTGATATTAACTCTAGATACGGCTTAGCTGCCCAGGAAGGCAATTTGGTCCTCGCTGCAAATACTGAAACCATGCGGGCTTGTATCTCAGCCTGTCCTGCGTGTGTTAACACAGGCAGGAGTAGTGATCCCACAGTCCTATCAGTAAAGACGAGTCTGGTTGGGTATGCTGTGATGTCTGGGCCATCTGAAATAGTTTAAGCTATAGACAAACAACAGGGACCTACTGTGTAGCACAGGGAACTATATTCAGTGTCTTGTAATAACCTATAATGGAAAAGAATATATATGTATAAAACTGAATCACTTTGCTGTATACCTGAAACACTGTAAGTCAACTATACTTCAATTAAAAAATAAAACAAAAATAAATAGTTTAAGCTAAAACATCTCTAGGATGGAAATGAAAGCAAGAGACAGAACAAGACATGTAATTACATGTATTCTCTCTTTTGAAAAATCAGGGACGTCCTGCCGTTTACCTTGAAGTTGCCTTATGCCATTTCAACAGCCAAGACTGAGGCTCAGCTTGAAGAACTAGCCCAACTGGGACTAAGTAAGTGGGTGCCCCTGCCCGGTTTCTCTTGATGTGAAAGCATGGAGCAGAGCCAATGGCAGACGATACATCATTGCATCAAAAAGCAACCCTCATCTCCATGGTAGAACTCCATGAGGCCCTGAGTCACACCTTCTGAGAGTCTTTTTCTAAGTCAAACGTCCAACCCGCTCTCAGAGGCAGGTGCCGAGTTTGCCTGAGTAGCCCACGAATTCTCCCCAGCATCTCCCGTCGATGAGTTTGAGCTCCCCAAAATGCCCAAGTCTTAAGATAAGGTGAACCTCTGTCATGGGTCCTGCCCTTCTGTGGCATCTTGCTGGGGAAAGGCTGTGCCTGACGGACGGGGAAAGCCAGTGCAGGCACCTCGTGTGCATGAGTTTTATTCTAGAGGAACACACGGTATTGATGGCATTTCTGTGCTTTGAGGAATTTGACAGCACAGGCTTCCAGAGTAACATCTGTCTCAGTTCCTCTCTTGCTCGGTTCCGGCCCTGGTGTTCTGGGCCATGTCCCTTACGCCGCCGTGTATCCTCACTCCGGCCAGCTGGGCGCTCGCTTCCCCTCCTGCCCTTTGCCAATGCCCCTCAACCCAGCCCCGTGGTGGACGGTGGATGGCAGGGGCTCAGGACACACCACTCTCCCAGTGTCACTTCTTGGTTCTGTTGCCCTGGGGAACCCGTGTGGGTTTAACTTTGACAAAAAATGTTTTCCTCCTCGATGGGAAGGGGGAATTCTCTTAAGATTTTGGGGCTTCAGTCTTCAGATAGATGAACAACCAGGCCATAGTATTTGAGTTTATATACCAGTATATAGTATTTGAGTTTGGGATTCTGAAGTGCAACTACCAGGATTCCAAGGACCTAAGAAACTGTGATACTTGACCCAGCAAATAAGAAATATATGTGTCCCTCCTTTGGCCAGTTTGCCCCTAAATCTCAAGAACTTGCTCTGAAGCGGGTACCGTTGCCAAGAGAGCCTACAAAACGCATAGGGAAGCCCGGAGGTGGATTCACATTCCCCTCCGAAACTTGGTTTCAAAAGAATTGCCACATGCATCTGAGGCCTGTCTGATGGGCAGCTGGGTTTCAGGATTGGGAAATAGAATCCAGGTAAACATATCAGGGCCGCATAAATGTTCCTGCTGAAAAGTCACACCAACTCTGCCACCGAGCTTTACACACCTTTGGAAAGAGTTTAAAACATTTCCTGAATTTAAGATCAGATCATCCACTAGATTATAGGCCTCTTGAGGACAGGCGCCAGGTCTCCGTTTCCTCTGGTGACCTCCATCCCCAGGACTCCTGGTTCAGGGGTCAGCCTGCTGTGTGTGCCTCGTGCCAGGGCTCCAGGACCGCAGTATCAGGGACAGCACTCGTGCCCTGCAGAGATCGAAGCAGAAAGAGCTCGCTCTGGTGGCCGCTCACCGGAGGCAAATAAGGTCTCATTCATAGATATTCCATGTGTAATGGTCAACGTGCACCTTATCCATTTCGTGAAGAGACAGCACTTTAAAAAATTCTGTACCTAATTTATTTGTTTGTCCAACAAGTCTTTCTGGAGGGTCCGCTATGTGGCAGACGCTATGTCCCATAACAAGGGTTCAAAGATGCATAGGGTCCCTCCCTCTCCCCCACTCCCCAGGTTTAGTCTGCATGGGAGGAATACATAACATGGGAACTAAGTGTTCTCTAAGTTTGTAAAGTCTTACAACGGTGGCAGGGGGAGTCTAAGGAGGACGCAAAGGAGGCGAGAGCTGCTCTACACTGGCCAGTAGAAATAGATGTAAGGCAAGCCAGTGTGTACCTTTAAATTTTCTAGTAGCCGCATGAAAGAAAATTAAAGGTGCAATTAATTTTTACAATTTACTTAATGTGATATCTGCAATGTTATTTCAATATATCATCCCTATTTTTTAAAGTATTGATCAAATATTTTACCTTCTTTTTTTCATGCTAAGTGTTTGAAATCCAGTATGTATTTTATCCTTATAGCACATCTCTATTCAGGCACTAAATTTTTGTCAGAAGTACATGGATCTGTATTTAGATTTCGTTACATCTACAATTGAAAAAGTAGTTTCATATAAAGTTTCACATACTTTAGAGTTTCCCAGTAACTGAATTGTGTCAGTTTTTACATTTAAATTGATTCACCTGAAATAAATGGAAAATGGAGCCCCTCCGTTTATGAGCTGGATTTCAAGCGCTCACTGGCCACAGGTGGCTGCTGGCTCCCCTATTGGACAGCACAGACCTAGAGGGAAGGAAGGATGAGAGAAAGCGGGCAACACAAGTCAAGGTCAGGCATGTTCACAGCACAGACAGGACAGGGCCAGGGCTCCCAGCCTCAGCCTCTCCCCAGGCCCCTGTGACCAGCCATTCGGGGCCCTCGGGAAAGAAACACAGTTTCAGCAAACACAACAAGGCAGAACTGTAGAGACAAGAACCTATTCCAGATGGAAATTACAACAGGTGTTCAGCACCACCACTGCCTCCCTCGATTTGTGTGGAAAACGGACCCGTCTGTCAAAGGGCGCCCAGGCAGTACGGCTGCAGTCAGCGACGTGCACCACTCCAGAGTGCTGAGCACCGATAGTCAAGGCCAGGAGGTTGTAGGATTTGGGAAGGATGGGCAGCAAACCACAAAGATGGATGGGCGAACTTGCACTTAACCTTTGCATGAGCTGGCTGTCCTGTTTTTTGCTGATGGGACCCATGAGTGTATTTTTCCTCCTTTTGGGTTTTAATGCTGAATGTGTCAAACCCAAGGCAGATTGTGTAACGTCCGCCAGGCCCAGCTGCTGGTCCTGCCTATTAAAGGGGAACTGCGGGCCCCCTACGGAGGGCACCCCGGGAGAAGGAATCAGAAAGGATGCTGCTGCTTAGTGGGAGGACTTGGTCTTTGTGGAGCAAGTAGGGAGTCCCACGGCCTTTTCCAAGCTCGTACTGTAACCACCCCCAGTTCCTTTTTCCTCACCTGGGGAAAGGCCTGGCCGGCTCAGTGCCACAGCCAAACCATCCCACAAGGGCTTTGAAGGTGAAAAGCCTCCGGAGCCTTCCCATGAGCCGGCAGCTGGGCCTGGCAGCATTTCCACCCTTTCCAGTAAAGGAATGCAGTGAAAACAAAAACAAAAAAAAAAAGAGAGAGAGAGAGACAGAGAAAGAAAGAAAAACACCACACTCCAGTATAGCAGCGCCTCCCCTTCCAAAGCTGTGCATTGCCAGGCAAGTGTGATTTTTTGTGAAGGACTGGCCGAGTGCACTGTATTTACATTCTTGTGTTCACTGATAATGACTTTCAGATTTTTGGAGCTCTCCAGCTGACAACAAACCCCCAAACCCTCCACCTCCCCATAGGCCTCTCTCCTCCGACGGTGTGGGTCCTGCCTCGCGTCAGCTCTGCCTTATAAATGGAGTGCATTCTATAAAAACCAGGACGCCCTCGGAGCTGGAGTGCAGCCAGACCAACGGAGCCCTGTGCTTTATTAATCCTCTGTTCTTCAAAGTGCACAGCCAGGAGCTCGGCGGAGGCCCGAAGCGGCCCTGCACCCGGACTCCCCCCGACGCGAATGGCACGGACAGGCCTCGGTCCCCCCCACCCCGGCCCCCGCCCCCCGCTATTAATAGTGTGCACGGCAGCCCCCAGCTGTCCGGGCCCGCGGCCGCCGCGAGCATGCCGGAAACCGTGGCCCATCACCAACACGGCGACGGAGCTCGGCTTGGAGCGAAACCAACCCCCGTCCCTCCGCCCCGGCTCAAGAAGCAGGCGTCTTTTCTCGAGGCGGAGGGCGGCGCCAAGACCTTGATCGGCGGCCGGCCTCGCCCGGAGCCCGCGGCGGGCCCGGCCGGCGGCGCAGGTGGAGCCCCGGCGGCGGTGGAGGCGGTGGAGGAGGAGGCCCCGCGGGATTGCACAAGGGCCCGCCCGGCCGCCGCCCCTGCATCCCCATCCCGGGCCCCGTGGCGCGGAGGCCGACAGAGGCTGAGTGACATGAGCATTTCCACTTCCTCCTCCGACTCGCTGGACCTGGACCGCAGCATGCCCCTGTTTGGCTACGAGGCGGACACCAACAGCAGCCTGGAGGACTACGACGTGGAGAGCGACCAGGAGACCATGGCCCCCCCCATCAAGTCCAAGAAGAAGAGGAACAGCTCCTTCGTGCTGCCCAAGCTCGTCAAGTCCCAGCTCCGCAAGATGAGCGGGGTGTTCAGCTCCTTCCTGACCCCCGAGAAGCGCATGGTGCGCAGGATCGCCGAGCTGGCCCGCGACAAGCGCACCTACTTCGGCTGCCTGGTGCAGGACTACGTGAGCTTCCTGCAGGAGAACAAGGAGTGCCACGTGTCCAGCACGGACCTGTTGCAGACCGTCCGGCAGTTCATGACCCAGGTGAAGAACTACTTGTCCCAGAGCTCGGAGCTGGACCCCCCCATCGAGTCGCTGATCCCCGAGGACCAAATAGGTGAGTACCCACCTTGCCTTAAAATATATATATATATAATCGCTTATATGTGGAATCAAAAAACAAAAGACCCAGGTGAACTTATTTACAAAACAGAAAGAGACTCACAGACATAGAAAACAAACTTACGGTTACCAAAGGGAAAGGGGGGTAGGGATAGATTAGGAGGTTGGGATTAACAGAGGCACATTGCTCTATATAAAATAGATAACCAACAAGAACTTACTGTATAGCCCAGGAAACTATACTTAATATTTCATAATAACCTATATGGGAAAGGAGGCTGAAAAAGAAAAAAATATATATATCTGTGTATCTGAATCACTTTGCTAGATACCTGAAACTAACATGACATTGTAAATCAACTCTACTTCAATAAAACTACAACAAATATATATATATATAGATATATATCTATATATATCTATATATAGATATATATCTGTAGCCTGGCAGGACAGCACATCCTGTGTTAGTTCTCTTGGATGGAGTTTTCTCTGGAGTTCAAAACAGCAACACACCGCAGCCCCTGGGCTGATTTGAACTGGAAACACAGCTTCTTGAAGGAGACTTCACGTTATACCTGACCTGGCTGCTGTGCGCCAGGCTTGGACATGTTTGGGGTGGGGGGTGACCGATGGAGCAGCAGATGGGTCTGTTCAGGGACGGAGCTTGCCTTCTGAGGGTCCGTTAGCCCACCTGATTTTGTGCTGTGTGTGTGACACGCCTGTTGAGGGTCTCCTGAAGGTGCGTCTCTGCAGGTTGTGTGCGAGGAAAAGGCGTTTTTTGCTGTCTTCTGAGAGGCGGGGGGTTTGCGCTGCTTTGGTTGGGAAGTGCCCTTTTTACCCTCAGAAGAGGGCAGAGCCCACGGTGTGCAGCTGGGTGAGTTTCCACAGGGAACAAGCCCCAGCCCAGCAGAACATGACAGCATCCAGAGCCCCCTGGGATCCCCGCCTTGTCCCCCTTCTCCCCAGAGGGTAACCGCCTTGCCGGCTTCTCATCACAGAATTCAGTAAGTAGCACTGTGAGGGAGTAAGCAAAAAAAAAAAAAAAATCAAATGGACAGGTTGGTTTGTGTACCTTTAAACTAAGTCACATATTTGGAGGTCACATGAAAGGTGTTTTCTCCAAAGTCAAGGGGAAATACTTTCTTTATAACCTTGTTGGAGGGCTGAATTGCTAGTGGTTACTTTGGCCAAGGGAAAATTGAATTTGGCAAGCCATCTTTTTTTCCCAGGGCGTGAGTGTTAAGGGATTTTTTTTTTTTTTTTTTTTTTTTTTAACTTCAGAAGATTGACTCTGAAAGGCTAGTTTCAGAGACCTCATTGACTGGGCACAGCAGCCAGAAGGGCTCCCAAACATTTGCAGGCAGTTCATAAAGCAAAACCCCAATTTCTCTTTCTGATTGGGTCCGTTTGACGAAAGGAGTAAACAGTGTGTGGTAGCAAGTGTTGTCTCTCTGTCTCTCTCTCCTTCCTTCTCCCTCTCTCTCCTTTGGGTTTCAGCAGCTTTTTGATTTTCTCACAAAGGAATCAAAGCCTTGTTTGTTTTCCTATGGCTTGTGCCTGGGTTGATGGGGCGTGGTTAGAGCTGGGCTGCTGGAGAGAACGCTGGAAGGAATGTGCCCCAGGATGTGCCTTAGAGATGGAAACGCCTTCGGGACAACAGAATAGCCACCCAGGCCCCCTCTGTCCCCGCCCCCCAGAGCCTGCCTCTCAGAGGAGACCCACTCAGACCCCGAACCCGGCAGGAGCAGCTTCCTCTGCGGGCGCTGATGTCAGCCCTGGGTTATGTGGCCGGCAGCGCCAACCAGCCCACGGAGAGGAGGCTCCTCCCTGGGGAACCAGGCCTTCCCTTCCTTCTCCGCCGATGCTGTGATCACCAACAGAAGCGCCCGTCCCAGGAAGCTCTCCTGCCAGCTTCTTTGTGGGTGAAGTTCAGAGAGGGTACTTGCTCTTGGAGCACCAAATCTCCTTTTCTCCAAAAACAAATTTGAATTTGGCCAGCAGTCTTTGCTGCAAACACTTTGCTGCTCCGGAAGGATGCAGCTTTCAATTTAAAATCTAAGGTCGTAAGAAGGGAAGCTGACGTCTAGGGCACCCCTAATTTGAGCCAGGCCGCCTGTCCAAGCGATGGCAGTGGGTCCTGGCCTCAGCCCAGTGAAGCAGGCATCCGTGTGCCATGTAGCAAGGCAGGGCTCTGCCAGGTGGAGCGGGGTGTCCCAGGGCCACGCCGGCCAGGAATTAGCCCGTGCAGCTTCTGAACTTCCTTCTGTCGGATTCAAAGGCCATGGTTTTTGAACCTCACCCCTCTTCCCTGCTGCGGCCTATGTTCATATTTTCTCATCAGAAATTAAGGGGGATAGGGTGGGATTGACAGGTACACGCTGCTGTATTTACAATGGATAACCAACAAGGACCTACTATATAGCACAGGGAACTCTGCCCAATATTATGTATCAACCTAAATGGGAGAAGAATTTGAAAAAGAATAGATACATGTATATGTATAACTGAATCACTTTGCTGTACACCTGAAACTATCACAGCACTGTTAATCAACTGTACTCCAATATAAAATAAAAAGTTTAAAAATTTTTCTTTTAATAAAGATAAAGAAATAACAAGAACATCAAATGTTCTACAAGGGAAAAAGAAAAGAAATTAAGAGGATTGGAAAATTGTTTAATTATGTTATACACCTAAAATGAATATGGTATATGTCAATTGTATCTCAATAAAAATTAATTTAAAATTTAATTTAAAGGGGAATTAGAATACAGGCTTACCCTCAGTGGAGGCAGCTCAGACCGAAGCTGCCTATGGAGGTGTAGGTGTGCCCAGCCCGAGCACTGCCTCACTTTTTTATTGGTTCGTTTTGGTTTTTTAAGCTTTTGCATTAAAGCAGACACTTCATCGTATCTGTTGCTTCCCCAATGAAATCATTATTCTGTTTTGAAAAGTGCAGTGAACGTGCTGGGCTTTTGAAATTAAGAGGAAGGCGAGCCAGAGCAGACAGTGACCCGAGGAACTCATCATGCGCCCAGCTGGAGGGAAGGATGTGACCCTAATTATTAGAAAACCAGTCCCTTTAAATGTGCACGTTTAGATTAGGACCCTGGCAAGAAAATGGACTTAGTCTAATTGTCTGCTTTACATATTCCTAAATGAAGGGCTCACTAGTTTACTAAAAACCTACTAATACAGTGATTCCTTTAAACCTCGTAACCAACTCAAGGTTGGTACATTT